GCAATAAATGTTTAGCTCTCTGGCACCATATCCTGCGCTACAACCTCAGAAGCCAACAGCTAGCATTTCTTAATCACGACGTTCTGATAATTCTGCTTCTGAGCCCTCCTCTCCCAGGTCAGTACTGGGAAGAGGTGAAGGCTCCTTTTCTGTGGTACAGCTTCCAGGTAGAGCCCAGAACAGGACAAGGGTTTTGGGCCCTGGTGGCCATCTGATATTTTCACCTGTAGTCAACCAGAGCGGTCACTCCCCTCCCCTGCTTGACTGCTGTCATCTGTCTGGGTCAGGACCTTGGTGCCTGCCCTGCAATCAGCTAACTTCCTTCGTGGCATTGCACGGTCTGTCATCTTGGGATGTGTCATCTTCCTGGGGCACTTCCAGGAGATGGATCACTATCCCCTCTTTCCTCCTCCGCTAGAGATCCCAGTGGGAGAAGGGTACAGCTGAGACAGCAGCACCCTCTGGGGCCAGGGGCCCCAGGAAGCCGTCTGCACTAGAAAGTGTGGTGAAGGAAAAGGGCAGGGTGACCACAGAACAAGCCAGTATCAGCATCACTAGATGGATCCACCTTGCTCTTCCTCTGTTTTTAATAATTACTGTCAGTAAAATATGGCCCACAGCCTCCTCTCACTCACTACCACTTAGTCCTTCCTCCGTCCTCTCTTGGAGTCTTTCAGTCACCACTCTAGGGCCCAAATACCCATGCCTGCTCACTGCCGCCAAGTGGCCAGAATCTGAAATCCCCTGCTGAGGTTTGAGAGTCAGCACAGGGGACTGGTTTCCACTCTGGCAATGAGCTTGACCCTCTGTGGGTTTCAATACTTGCTTCAAATTCCATTCCATTATTCACACAGTGTTCATGTTGGAATAAAGAGATAGATGTGTGCATGGGAGGGAACTGCCCTTGTCATATTCTGTATTTTAAACATCTTTATTTGTGTGTGTGTGTGTGTGTGTGTGTGTGTGTGTGTGCACTTGCACACATTCTACAGCCTTCAAGCAGAGGTCAAAGGCCAACTTTCAGAAGTTGTTTCTTTTTTCTACCGTGCCGAAAGTTCATCTTGGGTCAGGTCAAGTTGTCAGGCTTGGATTTCACTGGTCCTGTTATCACACTCTTTATGTTGCTGTGTGAGTGAGAATGTGTCTCTGTGACTCTTGGATAAACAGCTCTTTAAGCAGCATGGCAGGTCTATCAACTCTCATAAAACTAGCACAGGTGAAAGACCCTTCACAGAATCCCTTGTGCAGATGTGAAACCCTGTGACTTCCTTTTGGCCAGCCAGATGGGAGAAATAATACAGCCACTTCTAGGACTGGGCCAGTGCCTCTCCCAGGAGTGGTGCCTAGCTTGGAGACAACTTTGATGCTCAGATAAAAACATAAGGCATGGAGACCAACTGCCTGCCAATCAGACATATTCATTGTTGAACACCCCATATCAACCTCCCACCCTGCCCGAACACACAACAGCTACGTTATAGGCAATCCAAGCAAGACTTGAGAAGTGCTGGAAATCACACTTTTCAGCTCTCTCGAATTTAGTAAGTGATGACCTGCATGTTTTTTTATACTGACTAGGTCTAGGTAAGGAGCCATGGACCATAGCCAGACACTGATGCCCTCAGTGATGCTGTCCTCCTATATTTTGCTCAGTGGCTGGATCTATGGTTCTTTGTCAGCAGAGGTGAAGCCCAGATGAAAGGGTTGCTTGGAGACAGCCTACAGCACAGTGATTTTTTTTTTTTAGCATCAGCAGCTGTCTCCACTAGATGGCACTGACAGCATGGTTTTTCCTCATTAAATTTTGTTTCACATTTGCCACTTTCTATAGGGTTGAAGGCCACAATAGGATCTATGAATTAAATGTAAGTAGATGATGCAACATATGGTCATGTTAAGAATGATGAGATTTCTGAGGGCTGTCAAGTTTTTCTTCTTCTTGGGGGATGAGGGACTGTGCCTTATGCCTGCTAGAACACTGTGAATGACTCCTTCCTTTCTTCTCCTGTTCTGCCATTGATTCCAAGGGACACCAGACCCAGGCTTCACTATTTGGTATCTTTCTGTTCTTTTCAGCTCTCTGTGCTGAGACCTAATACTCAGGTACTCTTACATTGGGGTTGGGGGGAGTACAGAGCCCTCTCCTCCCCAGCTTTCCATTCATCCACTTGAATGCTGGGAGACACCAGCATGGACCCTGGAAGCCCCACTTCTTGTTTGTGCCCACAGGTAATTGGCCCCAACCTTGTCTTGAGCTCAGGATGGCAATGTCCTTTGACTCTTTAAAGGTAAAGACTGTGTCCTGTTCTCCCCAGGGTGCCTGGAGGCAGCTGAAGATCAGGGACGAACCAAGGGCTACTGAGTTCTGGAAGAGCAGGCTCATTAAGCTCCTTTGGGCGGCTGCTGTGGTTTAAGGTGGGGTTACTCAACCCTCCCTCCTTTTACTTCTTCCTTCCTTGTCCTCAAATTGTAATCCTCCTGCCTCAGCTTTGTCAGAGCTGAGATTACAGTACTTACTGCCATGCGGAGCCCTGCCATTATTGCTGCCATTATTATTCCTTTTCTAGCCACAGCTGGAGCATCTGTTGAGAACTGTGGACACATAGAACTCAGCCCTGTACAGACTGACCCAGGAGGTTCAGATTCCCCTTCTGTCAGCTGTTTGACCTCAGGGAGGTTCGCCTAGCATCTCTGGTCTGCTACATTTCCGTGAGCAATAAAGGGAGTGGACCATTTCCAGCTGTAGCCAGAACTTCCTGAGTCCCTTGGGACTAGGTTGTAGGAAGTCCCAATATTGCAGAGCCCCTGGAGAGAGGGTGGGGGAGGTGAGCTACCCCAGGGACCCTACCAGCACTAGTGTTGAGTTCTCTCTGTACATGGATGAACACTCCTGGGAACCTGAGCTGTCACACAGCCGCCACTTCTGCCTTTCCCAGTGTCCCAGGGTCCCCAGTGACCCCTGCTTCTACCTGGGGTCTCAGGAGGATCTGTGTGACAAATGCAGTACAGTGGATATGGGCATTTCTGAGAGTCAAAGGAATCCGGTGCTCTGGGAAAAGGGGGTCCTCGAACTTTCCTTCCCGAGACCGAGCCTCCAAACCTGTGTGTGAGAGGACCCCTTGAGCTGTGAGCTCTTAGTCCCCAGAACCATGATCTGAATGTATCTTTATTAAAGTTAAAATGTGTGTGTGTGTGCGTGCGTTCATGCTCACTTGTGAACACATGTGTGTGTGAGTTCAGGCATGAACATGCCATGGCATGCATATGTGAGGAGGTCAATTCTCTCCTGTCACCTTATGAGATCTCAAGATGGGACTCAAGCCACCAGGCCTCACACAGAGCCTCCATCTACTCAGCCATCTTGACAGCTCAGTTTTTGTTCCTTATATGTCTCCCAGTCTGTGGAATTTAGTTGCAGCAACAGAAAACAAAGTAAGGCAAAACTGCAGCTCTATTAGCTGGCTGTGTGCCATGGCACACACCGATGTTCTTTCTGCTCTCCAGGATCTGTAGAAATGCCTAAGAGTGGCATTTTGAATATTGTGATAGGACAATGGCTCACACAAATGTCCATGTCCAAGTCAGTTGGGCGGTGATGGTGCACACCTTTAATCCCAGCACTCCAGCAGAACCAAAGTCAGGTGATCTCTGAGTTCAAGGCCAGCCTGATCTACAGAGTGAGTTCCAGGACAGCCAGAGCAGTTACACAGAGAATCTCTGTCTTGAAAAACTAAAAACATCATGGGCTACAACACCCAGCTGAGAAGTATATATTGTGTTTTCACTTTGCCTCTTTTTTCCAGAATCCCCAGGGTGGTGTCCTGAAGATTTCTCAGCCTGGGCTCATCTTACCCCTTGGTGGAGAACAAAAGCCAGGTCATTTCCTCATGGTGTTTGAGGGTTCCTACTATACTTCTCTGTGATTGTAAATTTACTGGCTCACAGATTCTCCCCCATGGAATCTGGAAAACTCGGTGCTTCCCAGAAGTGTCCTGTCAGCTCCCCCACCCCTGCAATCCCCAGTAGTCTCTTTCAAGTATCTGCAATTGTCTTCAAAGACCTCTGTCCACAAACATTTGGTCCATACATAAGACAGTCCAGAAAAGCCAGGGTTAACCCACAGGGCGTATCTCTCAATGGCTCACTGGTGGTAGTTGGTGGGAATGCCTCCATCCACCCATTAACTGGGAAAGGCCCCTTTGAGGCCCATCCTGCAGCATCTCAGATGGTCCCCTTGAGACAGCTGGGTGTCATTACATTGGTTCATTCACTAGCACAGCCTGGCTAACCCTTTCGCTGTGTCCTTCCTCATGCTTTGGGGGGACCACCTCTAAAACACAATGCCCATAACCTATTTGGGTTCTGATTCTGGTGGAGGTCAAGAGAAATAAAAACACTGGCAAAAAGGGCCTTGCTGTGACAGTGGGTACCTGGTAGACACATATTTAGTTCAGTAAGGACCACACTGGACAACCTGAAACTGTGAGAGCCTGTCCTGTTACTGCTAACAGGACAATGGGTCTGTGGGGAATTGTTTCTCTCCTGGTGTACTGGAATTCTGCTTTGGGAGTCACAAGAAGCCTTATGGTGGTCTTCCAAACCGACAAACAATTGACTGTGATTTATTTCCATATGTATGTTTGCATCTTCCCCCCAAGACAGCAGTTCCCAACCCTTTGGGATTCACATACCAGATATCCTACATATCGTATATTCACGTTATAATTCGATTCACATTATGATTTGTAACAGTAGCAAAATTACAGTTATGAAGTAGCAACAATATAATTTATGCCTGGGGTGTTCACCATAACATGAGGAGCTGTCATCAAAGGGTCATTTTCTCTTATCCAACAACTAATTATCCAAACAACAGATTGGATTTTCTTATTTCTTACCCCCCAGTTTTCCTAGCTTGGACCCAAATTTCTGTCTTAGCTTGGGGACAGTGTCAGTCCTGCAAGAAATAGGATTGTGGGGGCAGGAGCATAGTCATGCCTCTATGGGGCCACCAGGACCCCAGTGGCACAACAACCCCTGGGCCTACCTGGTGTGATCTCAAACAAGTGCTTCCCCGGGTCCTCAGGGTCTGGAAGAAGTTCGGTCACTTGTGTCCCTTGTAGAGAAATAAATCCCTGAAACAGAGACAAACACAAATAAGAAACCTGTGAAGGCTGGGAAAGGGCTCCTTGGAGTGGAGGGTGGTGTAGGACAGGGCAAGGCAGACTGAGTACCAGGGAGGAGTATGTGTCTCCTTTCTGGGGCATGGGACCAGGCACAGAGGACCCCCCCCCATATGCACACACAGTTGGAGGATGGGAGAAGCTCTTCCAACAAGGGGTGGGCCATGACTTCCCAGTGCAAGACAAGGCAAACCAAGACTGTGGCCAGGAGGACAGGGCTGGGGGCTCTTCCATCCCTCACCTCCCTATCCCAAGGCTCACTGTTGCCTCCTGTAGGGCCCCAGGTGTGGAGAGTAAGAGAGAGGAAGGCTGGTGTTCAAGAGCCTTGGAGGTGGCATCGGGAATAGACAACATCACACGTCTATGTGAATCCAATCTGCCATGGCCTGAATGAAATTTCATTCATTCTTTTCTTGGTTTTATATGTGTATTTGATTTACTATTATTATTAATCATAATTATTTTGGCTTTTATGAGACAGGGTTTTTCTGTGTAGCCTTGGCTGTTCTAGAACTCACTAAGTAAATCAGGCTGACCTCAAAATCAGAGATCTGCCTGCTTCTGCCTCCGGAGTAGTGGGATATAAGTCATGTGTCACCATGCCCAGCTTAATCAATTATTAAGAGATTTCCACTGCAGGGTTGTGGATCAAACCTGGGATCAAACCTCTCATACTCTAGGCATATGCTCTCCCATTGAGCTGCATGTTCAGCCTGAGGTTTTACTTCTTTGCCTACAGAATAGGAGTCACCAACATGCACGAAGTCACCAGCCTACAGGGTGCCATCTTTGTGTCATAGGCAAGCACGGTCGTCCCTTGGAATTCACAGTGTATTGGCTCCAGGATCCCTTGGATGCCCTTTCTGAAGCTCAGTCTGTATGTTATATAACGTGACGTTGACCCTCACTTCTCAGGAGAGTTCCATAAGCCAGATTCCTTCTTGGTAAGTCCTCCCCAAAGAGATGAGGTATTGCTTCTTGCACCCACAGGCTAGCAAGAGCCCTCTTTCTCTCTGGAGGAGTTCCTTCATGTCACACACGCTCAGCTTTGCTTAATTTAGACCCCATGTGTCTTGACTACATATGCTTCTATCCTCTCTATCCTCTGCAGGACTCCACTCCTGCAGTCAGCTCTCCAGGTTCAAACCTGGTAAATTGTGTCACTTCTCTGAACCTCGGTTTCTGTATCTGTGCATTGGGAATCCTACTAGTTCCTTGTAGGGCTGTTCTGAGCTTAAATGAATTAGTACCTGGGATGTCCTTAGCGTAGGTCCTGCCACACAGTGTGTGCTTTATTTTGAGACATGGTCTCACTATGTAACCCCGGCTGATCTGGAACTCACTATTTAGATCACGTTGAATTCATAGAGATATGTCTGCCTCTGTCTCCCAGGTGCCACAGCTCAAGGAGTGAGAACTTTGTGTTAGCTAAGCGAATCTCTCTATTATGTCTGGGCTCCAGAACAGGTGGGGGGTATAGCCACAAATCTGCATTGAGAAGCCCAGTGTCTGTGTCACTGTTTCCCATCCCCACCCCTATGCTTGTGAGCAGACACTCTCCTCCTGGGCCAGTAACATTTTGGTGTGTCCTCACAACATCCCCATGGGGGACTGTAGTCCTGTTGTGCAGATAAGGAAGCTAGTGGGGATGGTAGGGGTGGGGTAGATAGAAAGATGAAGCATTAGCCTGCAGCTGAGTCAGGCCTTTTCTGGCAGATCCTGACCATAGAAGGGAAATGGGAGCCTTATGTCTGCTGGCATCTGTGCTTGGGGGACATAAGGAAATGCTCTCGTGTAAGCAACATCAAGGCAGAATGGGGTCTGTACCCACAGATGCTTGCTCTAGGAAATTATAGCAATAAGCCAGGGATCCAGCTGGCAATTGCTGTAACTGAATTACTGGTTGTGTTCTTGCTAAGGAACGTGGAGCTACAGGGAATAAATTAGGACAGCAGCCCCAGGATGCGGGAACGTGCTCATTAGAGGGCGTGTGCAAAGTCCATCACTGACTCTCCGGGCTTGCTGTTTTGGTAACTGACTCTGATGGGGTACTTTGCTGTGCATTTTCCCTGTTCCTCAATAACCATCATCCACACAATGGGAGTAGCAATATCTTCACTAATGTTACTTTCCACTGAGGGTAAAGGAAACTGCAGAAATAGCTCCTGTTGTGGGAACTGGTACAATGTTCCTGGCTCTCAAACCTACTTGACTGAATTTGTGGGGCAGGTGCTGCTTTGCTATCTCCTTGCACTGAGGTGAGAGAGGCAAAATGCAGGCTTACATCTATGCTGCAAGCAAGGGTCAGCTGGGATATGAGTTCCCACCTGCCCACTCTGCACCCCACCTTTGAGACAGCAGCTTTCCACCAGTTCAGCTTAAGCCACTGTGGGAGACCCAGAAGGGGACTCTGGTATCCAGGAGTCCCTTTGTACTCCAATGAATCCCTGAGTGGCCCCATCACTGCAAGGGACCTTAGCACCAACCTGTGGCTTCACTCAATACCCCAATCTTCCTAAAAGTTGGGAGTGAAGCTTTTATTTTGGGGTTAGATGGAGCAGGGTGTGGTGGTCCCAAGAAGCCTGCTCTCCTGGTTGGGATTGTGATGTGTGTTAGTACTGGAATGAAAGTGCTTGTAAGGTGTCTACCAGACATCCCAGTGTAAACCTGGGCTTGCCTCCCAAGCGACCCCAGAGCTTGCTGAAGCACAGAGTTATGGGCTTGTTTGACAGTAAAGAAAACAGAGCACCCAGTTTACACGTTTGCCATTCTCTGTAGAACACAGGTCTTTTCCCTTCATGGCCAGGTTCACAATGTCACTGAGTGTGGAGTTGGGAAGAGATTCACTATAGTGTTTGCCACATGGTCACCTCGGAGGACAGGGCACAGTCAAGGAAGCCAGTTGAAAAGAGATGCAGATGTGTGCCCAGTCCTTACCTTTGCTTTTCTTACAGCTGATTTAACTGTGGATGAATGAATTGCTCACCATGGGCCTGTCTGTTCAGAGGAGTACTGGACTCCACCCTGGAAAGCTGAATTCCATGGTTCTGGAGAAAGTAGCTGAATTTTTATTTCTGCCTAGTTTTCTGATGTTGGTGGCTTCAGGAATATGCCTTGAGGGCAGCTGGTCTAGGTCAGTCAAGGGTTGGTGCTTTTCCTTTGAGTTTAGTCCTCTCCTAAATTTGCTAACCCGTAGAACAATAACATGGACTCCATGGGGCCATGGTGACAAGGCAATGGCTTGTGATCTACTGGAGTGGGATATTCACTTTGTCGTCTTCTGTGGCACTGACCACACTCAAGGGGGGGGGGGTTGGAGCCAGGGCGGAAGTGACCTGGGGAACTAAGTCAGAGGAGGCGGGGGGGGAGGGAGGGAGGGGGGATGCGCTCTTGCAAGCCGCAGGGGGACAGGAGGATCCGTTCGGCCTAATTGTTTATCCTGATCCTTATTAAACCACGATCTCGAATGGAGGCATGGGTTCGTATCCCACTTCTGACACCAGGTATCGCTTACAAGAATTCCTCCGGAAGTCTTCCTGTCCCCCTGCGGCTTTCAAGAGAGCATTCCCCCACGCCTCCTCCGATTTAGTTCTCAGGTCACTTCCGCCCCTGGCTCCACCCCCAATCAGTGTGGTCAGTGCCACAGAAGGCGACAAAGTGAATATCCCACTACAATCTACCCCAGAGAGTGGAGCTGCATTTGAAATCCTGTGCCTTGCACATGCAGGTCATAGGGGCAATGGATATCTGCTTCCATCCTCTTGACAATGCAACAACCACAAAGGTCCTGGGATTTTTCTTGAGGGTAGTATCCAAAATAAACATTAACAGGGTCCAGCTGGTTTTCTTCCAATAATGTAGGGCCAGGGCTTGGGCACTTTGGCTCTGGAAGGGGCCAGACTCATAGCTCATAGCCTGCATTACAGTGGCACTGTTGGTTGAAAGCCCATGGGCACACAGCCAGAACACACAAGCTCCAAGGCACTTCCTCCTTCCCCTGGGTCTGAACTCACGGCCATTGGCTGTTGGTAGGTTTGCTCAGCCTGCAGGTCTGAGCTCATCCCTAGAAGCTGCAGCTGACTTTGCTCATCTCTAGCTCCATCTTTCCATAGTCTATTGGTACAGATGACTCATGAACTAAGAACACTGCATTCTGTCTGTCTCCAGCAGGTTCCCACAGCCAGGACTGCTGCTGTCTCCACCACAGGGCCTGCACCAGCTCCCCTAGCTCCCCCAGCCTCCAGGGAGACCTGCCAAAGCACACAGGACCCCAGACCACAAGTTCTGCCTACAAAAAACAGAGCTCTATGAAGTGTATAGCACAACCCCAGTCGAGGAGCTTTTGGGAGAGAGTATATTTCAAAAACAACAGCAAATTAAAAATCCATCATCTACCCAAGCATGATGGTGTATGCCTTTAATCCCAGAACCAGGGAGGTAGAGGCAGGCAGATCTCTGGTAGTTCAAGGCCAGCACTATGGTCTACATAGTGATTTGCAGGACAATCACAATACACAGAGAGACCCTGTTCCAAAAGCAAACACAAAAGTAAAGCCACCCAAAAATAAAAATCCATCATCTATACGACATAATAATAAATGCAAACCCCAGAAACCCCTTAGGCTGAAGAAAAGTGGTTTGGTGATTACCCATATTCCATCTTATGTGCCTAAACCGCATAATGGGTAACTTAGGGTGTGATATTTGAAATTCTGAAAGTCTACTATACCAAATTCGGTGTGTATTTGATTATCTACTGCTACCCAATATGCCCAGAACTTAGAGCTGAAAACTACAGTGGTATTTTGTCAGACAGCTTCTGTGGGGCAGGAATTTGGAGGTGCACTAGTTGAATAGTCCCGAGGCTTTATAAGGAGACAGTTAGATACAGAAACTTGACGGCCCGAAGAAGACCAGAGATATATTTTCACACTAGACCACTCAACGGAAGC